TCTTTGGTCTCTGCATTTGTCTGTTCACTTAGAGGAGGGCATCACTTGCTGATCAGGCAGCCAGGCTGTCTAGTGTTGCCCACCAGTCTTGAGGGCACAGAGACAGGGAACAGGACAGATGCAGCCTGGCACCAGCATCGGACTTGGCTGCCGGAAGCCAAGTGGCATCTGAGATGAGCTGGCCTCCTGATCTGACCGGCTGGGACTATTTATACCAGTGAGGTGCCGAATGTGATGCCAGGGTCCCCTCCCCTTGGAGCTGCATAGAGATCATCTTTCCAGAATTGAAAGAAGAGATAGTGACTAACTCACCTTGAAAGGCTAATGGAGTTAAGAAGGTGGGAGAAACTGCTTCTCACAATCTTCTAGCAAGTTAAGGGGAAGCTACAGCTACTTCGAGGGACATTTAGGACTTAAAATAAAAAGGCGTTTACTAGTGATTCTCAATAATAAGAGTCATAACCCCATTACAGAAAAGTATTTTTAAAATCACTTATAATTTTTAAAATCACTTGGAGAAACCCACTATTAATATTTCGTTGTCCCTCCCTTTCCCCATGCATTCACATTTGTACATATAATTCTTTTTGGTGATCACAGTTTTGTAGCTTGCATTTTCCACGCAATAGTATCATGTGAGCCTCTTCATATGTCATTACACAAAAAAATGTAAGCCTCATTTTTTTATGTGTGCATAATGGTCTATATCCAGACCAAACAGGGATTCCCATGGCTTCCTTCAGAAAACAGTATTTGGGCATCCTGTCAGAAGCAGACTGGAGGTGATCTAGTGGGGTAGTGCTTCTGGCAACTTTATTTCCTCAAGTCAGTCCTCTTTAGAGATTGATGGAGCAATATAGCCCCGCTCCCAAAGTAAAACCCAGATAGGATGGAGAAGAAAGCAAGGGCTATTAGTTCCATTTTCCAGATGGGAAAATTGAGACTTTAGAACCAGGCATGGAGCAATTTTGATGACTTTGACTTAGGTACCTCCTGGAGTGTTTTCAGGGCTCCTGGGAGAGTAGCTCTGAGTATGAGAGAAGTTGATGAGGGTAGGATATGAGCTCTGTATTGGTGGGTTTGCACACAAAAAGTGCCTTCACAGGGCCTTGAGTGAGTTAGAGGCCAGTCCTGGGAGGGGCAGTCTCTCCAGAGTCAGCAAGTTCCCAGATGTCAAAGCATCAGAAATAGTTAATCCATGGAATCTGTGGTAGATATGGGTGATCAAGGACATCCCCATGTCCATGCAGAACTTAGCGTGGGCTTTATTCACGGGGTGGCAGAAGAGAGGTTTACTAATAGCAGCAGAAGGAGGATCCAGGTGGTGGAGAAACTTCCTGAGTTAATCATCCCTGACTCAGCTCTGCCATCAACCGGCTGAGAGGGTCTGACTCCCTGGGCTTCCACTCTCAGCTCTTGCCCTTTAATAGAAGGAAAAAGATGGGGGAGAGTGAACATGTCTTGGGCACTTCCTGTGTGCCTGGCACTGTGCTGTTTTATTGTCATCAATATCTTATCTCAACCCTGTTGCACAGGTGTTGCATTTTTTTTAATGCTGATTTTACAGATGAGGAAACTAAGGTTTAGAAAAGTGATAGGCCTAGGGAGGCCTGTGAGGGGCAGAAAAGGGATGTGAGCCCAGTTCTGAAAACATCTCTAACTGGCAGCCACTAAGCACATGGCACAGGACTATTGGGGATCATTGCACTGCCTAGTTCCTTATAGGAATGATGTTGGGGATTAAGGAGAAAAGGAAGGCGAGTGGAGGCTGGTGGAGGTAAGGCAGAGATGGCCTTGTGGAGGCAATGGGAGGGGCTAGCTGATCGAAGGGAAGTGCTGATCAGTTTTAACTTCCTCCTGTTTGTGGGCCATTAACTCACAGTTTCGATCTGCCTTGGTTAGAAAGTGGGAAATACTGAGGGAACCTTGGTATAGAATTTTAGTGCCAGGTGGGCCTTTAGATACCACCTAGCTAAAACAGATTGTTTTAAGGAGGAGAAAGCAGAGGCCTAGAGAGGGGAAGTGATTTACCCAAAGTCACACAGCTGGTTTAGAGGCATATCCAAGATGTGTCCACAAGTCTCCCAACTCCTTGAGCACCCTAAGATAGGTCTCCTCCTAATGATCTTCTGCATCATTTGAATCTGGAGCTTTTCTGGTAGCAGACTGAGATCATGGCTTCAAATGACCCACTGGTTCCAAAGGGCTTGGTGCCACTGGCTCTGGTTGCAGATGATGATCTTTGTGATAAGACACCAGGTCTCACTTGCTGTTGTGTGACTGGAAAACGACATGAGTTAGAGCCAAGGTCATGGACTTTTTGTGTGGCCCCAGACTGACCCTTTGTTCTTAGTTGCAGATAACAGAATCCTTTTTAACTAATTCAAGCAGAAAAGGATTTATCAAGGGTACAACTAGCTCAGAATTGTTGGAGAGGCTAAAGACAGATACCAGGTAGAGCTTCCAGAAATGCCTCCCCAAATTACATTGTGAAATGAGGCCACCCTGAAAGCTGCTGCCTCCGATATAATCATGAAAGTGCTGCCACCACTACAGTTTCCAAGAGCCATGCCACCTCTTCCACATTCTGCACCAGAAAAAAACAATGCTTTGAGCCTTGTTCTTCTTCTTCAGTAACAGTCTCATGCAGGTGCTTCTGACTGGTTGAACCTAAACTTCATCTAGAACCCTAGCTGCAAGAGAGTTTGGGAAATGCACGTCTTTGCTTTCCTGTCTCCATAGTACAGAAGCTACAGAGATAACAAAGACAGAGTCCCCATGTTCACAGTTTGGAAGGGGAAACGGATATATAAACAGACTCTTTTAATACAATGTTATTTGCTCTAATGAAAAGACAGTATACAGAGGAACCCTGGAGGTGTAGGTCAGGAAGCCTTCCTAGAAATGAGGGCATTTGAACCGGGTACTGAAGGATCAATATGAGTTTGCCAGGTGGGAATAACAGAGGAAGAAGTTAAAAAAATGAGGGAAACAGAAAAGAGTGAGTGTGATATGTTGTGGATCCCAATGCCTAATTCTTATTAATTCTACTTCAATTCTTTTATGACACGAGAATAAGGAGGTTACTTATTTTGTAAATAAGAGCCAATTTGTTATATAAAAAGTTCTAATATTTTAAAGTATTATTTTAAATTACTTAAATATATAATTATAGTACTTTAAAATGAACTATTATGTTATATTAAAATTAACAATGCATGTTTATGAATATAATATTTTAAAAGTATTAACTATGAAATTATATTTAAAACACAAATATTTTGTTCTAGTATTTTAAATTACTTAAATATATAGTTATTTAAAATTAACTATTAAATTTTATTAAAATTAAAAATAAATATAAACAGAATATTTTAAAAAGTATTAAATATGAAATTAAAAGTTGTTTAGCATACAAATATTTTTAAAAAGAAACTGGTTTATTGGGTAGAATGATTTAGTATTTCTAAAGCAGCCTGTACATAAGTTTGCACAGGTAAGTTAGACATGTGAGAACACGTGCAATAACGGCTGACACATGTTGGGAAGATTTCTGGGAAATACCCGAGGAATGCTTTTATTTTAAATCCTTACTCATGGATTGCAGTGCCCAGGAGCAGCACTGGAGTGCCTCTCCCACTTCTGATTTTCCAGGGCTACCTGCTTCAAGGTCACTGATCCCACATTTACAGTGGCTTGACCCTGTAGGTTTCTTATCCTATGGTGTTGACGCTGTCATGGGTCTGGTCTTCAAGCTTAATCTGCCCAGCCTCTTCTGAACAACCTCTAGACAGGGGCCATGAGGAAAGGGTGCACCTGGCTTTTGCCCTGGGAGGCCCCACCCTGTCTCCTTGGTTGAGCCCAACAGTGAACTACTGTGTTTTATCTTTGAGGGAACCTTCTCCTTAACTCATCTCCCCACCCTCCACCCCTAGTCAGGTAATGCTCTTCCTTCCTGGGTGTGAGAAGGGGAGACCTTAAAGGTCTCCTCTCTCAGTGACTGTGGTGAGTGGACAAGAACATCCTTGAGTCAACATGCAGGTTCTTGTTGCAGCTCTGCCACCTGCTATCTACACGACTCTGGGCAAGTGAGTGAACTTCCAGAGCCTGTCTTGATGCTTATGACCATCATTTGCCTTGTAGGCTAGTTATAAAGATCAAAAGTGGATGCCTCCATGTCAAGTGCTGGCCCAGCACTTGGCCTGTGGTAAGGCCTCAGCAATCATTGGCTGAATTGGATTTGTTACTCTGAATGAAGCTGCTGATGGGACCCTGAGGTGGCTCTGACATTCCTGGAGCCCGCTGGTGTTGGAAGGGGCTTGGGCTCCTTGGGATCTAGACCAAGCCTGGCTATGCCCTACACTGACAGTGGGACCTGGAGCTCCATCTGTTTAGCCTCAGTTTTCCCAGCTGCCAAATGGAAAGAAAGAAATGTCAGTTTCACCTAGTCACAGCCTGAGTATGAGAATCAAGGGAGCTAACAGAAATGGAAATGCTTGTACAGTAGGAAAAGCAGTAGGTCTCTGCTGTGCTTGTGGCTGTCATGGTGTGGCACTTTCCCAAGAGGAGGCTGAAGGCGCAGGAAAGGGCAGGACTGGCTGAGGCAGCAGCCTCACTGCCCGATCCCAGTGCTGCCTCCTTCAGTGACTGACCACAGAAGAGCCAGAGCAAGAACGTGCCCAGGGCATCCTCCTCCTTCCCCTCGCAGCCACCAACTTGGGACCAAACCTGCTTCTGAACGTCGTGATTTACTGAAGTGGGGTCATGCTCCCATAAATGCTGGGTAGTGGGGGTGCTGCGAGTAATCACCTACCCAGTGATCAAGCCTGAGGCCCCAGTGGTCCTGGACCTTTCCACCCAGTCACCTGCTGGGTGGGGCTCGTTAGCTCTATTTATTTGACCAGGGCAGACCTCCCCACAACAAGGGTCCCTGAAAGTAAAGCACCTGAAAGTCAGGCCAACTTCTCTGCATAGTGACCTCTGTCCCTGTCGGTTCCCAGGTATTTTGAATTTTACGAGGGCCCTTTGGAATATAACTCCACCAGATGTCTGGAGCTGAGGAACGAGATCTTGGAGGTGAAGGTGCTGTCCATGTGAGTGCGGCCGGGGTGGGTGGTGGGTGCGTGGTGCATGTGGACTTGGGGCAGGCCAGGAGGCAGGGTGGGGATTTGGGCAGAAGGAGACAGGAACAACAGTGGATCCCGACGAAACAAGAATTAGGTCTGCTTCCCAGGGCCCTGGCATTGAAGAGCTCTGGAGGCCTGCACGCAGAGATGATTGTGTTTTATGAAAAAAATCCAAGTAAGGTCACCTCTGGTGGCTTGGCCTTTCAGTCCCCAGCTCAGTTACCAGTCTCTGAGATTATCATCACCGGCTCCTCGAGTTCAGAAATCGAACAGAGCGCGGGAGCGTCTTACCTGAAATTTAGTCCTTTGTGCCGAGCGTTAAACATCGCCTTCTTACTATGGTTTTTTAAACATTTTATATTAATTAAAATTTTTATATTTTTAAGTTAAATGATGCAACATTCAAAAGGTACAAAGAGGTATACAGTGAAAAGTCCCCTGCCCACAGCCCCCCAGCTCTCCTCAGAGGCAGCCCTTTATCCCCTGCATCCTTCCAGAAAGTCTATGCAAAACCCACACCTACTTATAGATGTTTTTCACTCTTTCTCCCCCCCCCCTTTTAACATATATGGCAAAAGAACTGCGCTCTCTCCTCCCCACTCAACAATATATCACCCCTGGCTCTTTCTCACAACCTATGTGAGAAAAAGCGCATTACATGCTGCACTTTTTGGCGTGTGTGTGCCTACCCCAGCTTTCCCTCCCTCCTGGGATGGCCATAAATTCAGTAGGCTCATTTAGAGGAACTGGTGTTGTGTTCATCATGACAGGATGTATATTTACTTGAAAACAGCTATATCTGGATATGGAAGAAATGTAGTTTATTGAGGCAGGCAATGCTGGGTGCTCATGTGGACTCATGGGCCCCTGACATGATCCTTGGACCACCGTTCATGGCCCACAGGCAGGAGCCATTTCTCCTTTAGCCATTTGACATGGTTTTCAGGTAGTGTGGGTCATGGAAAGAACACAGGCCCTGGGGTCAGGCAGACCTGGGATCCAAAGCCAATGGTAGGCCTTACCAGCTCTGCATCTTTATATAAATGACTTAACCTCTCTGAGCCTTCTTTTACCTACAAAAATAGGGATACTCACACCTTGCTTTTAAGGGTTCCCATAAAGACTAGCTGAAATAGCATATGAAAGGAGTAGCCCAGCAGTCCACATATAGAGTAGCACACATAGTAGGTGCTCACTAAGTGTTCATGTGCCTCTTCCCTTTCCTTCCCTCCTCTTTCTGTCCTTTCTGGAACCACCATCATCAGCAGCAACAGCTTTTCTGGGCTGTCATTCAGACTCTGTAAGCTTAGTAACTGCAGGAAATTTCCAAGATAAGATGCAACATCCACTGGCATCAGCTGCGTTGTTTGTGGTCTCTGGACTAACCAAGGAGCTGTATACCCTCTCTAGAGAGAAACATGTGAGGCAGCTCACCCTCCCGTCAGTCCCACCCAGCCTTGGGCTGAGCACACACTGTGGTGCCTGCCCCCAGGAGCTCACAGCCCAGCGGGGGAGGGAGACAAGGGGGTGACAGGGAACTTCACTGGGAGGGGTTTTCAGGCAAGGCTTCTCTGAAGAAGCAATGTTGGTGCTCTGGTGTGAAGGGTGATAAGAGTTAACTAGGCCAGGAGGATTCCCAACTGAGGGAACAGTTTGTGCAAAGGCCCTGTGCCATGAAGGAGCCCGCTGTGTCCCAGGATGTGCAGGGTCAGGGGGCTTGAATGCCACAATGAGAGAGGGAAAGGGAAGCAATGCTGTTAGAGGGGCAGGCAGAGGCCGGGCCTTGTGGGTTTAGATTTTGTCTTTATCTGAGGGCACTGGGAAGGGTTTA